AGGTATTTAAAGCATGTTTATTCATCGATTTCGTCTGCTCTGCAGTTATCATAATAGTAATTTGTTCGTCTATTTGAGATAAGCTGCTACATTTCAATTTTTCTATTTATAATTTATTTTTCATTCGCAACAATTTAGTACATACATGAAAAAGAATTATTATCGCTATTTTCGATTTAGTTTGATCAATGATCTTGACTTTTTTTTTTGAGTCCCGTGAGTCCGTGAATCCGTGAACCCGTGAATATAACATAGACAGACACCTTATCGTATTTTGTGGATCTGATTTATCGATAAAAGGGAAATATATGAATAATTAAAACGAGTCCCACAAAATACGACAAAGCTGAAGTGGCTACTATATTATAATCACAGGGTCTCGAAAAAAAAATAATGAAGATCATTGATCTACCTAAATTGGAGAGTGATAATCTAAGCATCCAAAATAAGTTATTCAAGTCCACGAATATTTCATTTTGTTCGTGGTAATTTGATGCATGGGTAAAAAAACATTTATTAAACTACTTGAAGTATTCAAAACAGGTTTTTAAGTCTTCGAGCATTTTTATTCACGATAATTTATGAGCAAGTATAAAGAACATTTATTATTAATCGAAATATTTAAAGTATTCTATTTAAGTTCATGAAATGCCTACTATTTAACTTCATTAATTTAGCACGCATGTACAATTTCATGAACATTTACCACTTATTTTAATCACATTTTGAGTATAAAGAAAGCATATTTATTAATTGATTATTTACAATTTAATTTTAGTTTTAAATCTAAGTTTTGCGAAAATAGAGTAAGAATGACTAATACGAAAATCTAATTTAACATATAAGAATTTGATTACAGAAAACGTAACATGTCGTAATGAAGATATCACAAATAAAGCATGGTACCAGGCACGTAGTCCAAATACAACAATTCAAGGATGAATAAGTGGAGATAGAAAAATTAAGAAAAGATCTCAATTTTAGGGATGGATCGGTCCTCGTAAAAACCGGGAATGATTCTCGTCCTTGGCCTGTAATCGTCCGGTTCTGGCTTGCCAGCTCAACGCTACCCACGTTATTCAGTTAGCATGAACACGGCAATGAGTTATAATACAATATATAAAATAATTGTCGCAGATCATAATGAAATCGGATTAAAATGAAATGAGGAGTTTCTATTTGACCCTCTAAAACCCACTTATACTTGTTTATTATAAAACCTGATTCTAAACCCTAATCCTTAATCTGCCACAATAATTATATTACGTTAATGTATCTTATAATGATATACAAACAAAAAATTTGGCCTGCGTTATTAGCTTATTTAATTTCCACATCGTGTTCAATAATACACAAAGGTTTGATGATTTTGCAACCTTAGCCATATTTCAGTATTTCACCTATGGTAACACTGATAGAATTAGAAATTTAATGATCTTCGTAATATATATGACAAAAATTCTGCAATTGGGAGATCATTTAGGCTAAGTGCTGCAAAACCAATCAACAAAAATAAAGATCATCGAAAAATCTATTTTGGTGTTATAAATTTTATAATAAATCATAAATTTTGAAGTGCTATACTGCAAAATTTTATTAATACAACTACTTTTGTGTCTTAAGTGAAAAAATGATCCTGATCTTATTTTAAATTTATTTATGTAAACTGATTTTCAATTTCCTCCTTTTTGCAGCCCTAGCCCATTTTAGAAAGAATGTTCGGAGAATTTTAATTGGATAGTCATTTTATTATAGTATCTGGATTTGTGATAGGTTACACGGAATTATAAATAACTCGAAGCAAGATGTTAAAAAACATTCATTATCATTATTGATATATTTATATGTTTCATTCTTATTATTCAGTAGATGCATGTTATGTAATCCATTCTCAATTTTCATTTTCATTGTCCATTTTCTACATACGTACGTACGTACGTACATACCACTATCACAAATATATATATTTATACAAAATTTATTTTTTCAACTTAGTACGTATCAGTAACGTTTGAACCTGAAGATAATGGGATTATTATCTAAGGATAAACTACTTCGTTGGGAGCAAGCAAAACCATATGCTGACCATATTCGTAATCAAGGAATCAACCAATTTTTATCAATGTATAATAAAGCAAAAGATAGGAAAAATGATAGTTTATTGTGGGGTGACGAGGTGATTCATTTAAATTTTTATAAATTGATTACATTGTATAATGAGAATAATAATATACAATTTTTTTTTTACTTAGATTGAATATATGGTAATTGCGTATGATGATGGAAACAAGAACGTAAAGTTATCATTAAGAGCTCAAGATATTTTACAAGAATTGCAAAAAGAAGTAGAGGAAACATTGAGAAAAGGGTGTGTTTATTAATAACAATATTTAATGAATCAAATCATCCAGTATTATCAATTAAATTATATTTTATAGTGAAGTAGTTGATGCATTATGGCATCCCGAATATGGAGCGTATATGATCGAAGGTGTTGATCTGATTTGACTTTATTTGGTTTAAATTATTATTTGAGTTATTTTAGTTATTTTAGTGAATCATTTATGAATGGTTAATTAGGAATACCTGGTATTCCTTACGGAAGTTCTTTAAGAAGTTTGACTCTGGTTGAACAAAATATGAAACTTAGAAGAGAAATTGCATCCAAATATTTAAACCCAAATGAAAGTTTAGTTACTTTAGTCGGTTTCCCACGTCTCGGTTGCTCAGGTCAATTCTTAGATCCTCATCATGAGCCATTTGGACCTGAGTCAAGAAGTTTATTTGTGCCGGATGAAGCCATAAATTCACATGCTAAATTTCGGTACGTAATTCATAATTTATTTGTTCACGTATTTCAATATAATGATATATAATTTGTTAAACGAAAAAGAGCAGTGAATGTTGGTCTTGAAAGTCGTCGAGGATCGAAGGTCGCTCTCAATGTTCCGATTTTTCATGACAAAAAGAGTCAGAATTTATTTATTAACTGTGAAGAAGCTTTACCGGATCATATATATATGGATGCGTCAGTTTATGGGGGTGGCTGCTGTTGTCTACAAACAACTATTCAGGCTTGTAATATTAGAGAAGCTAGGAAATTATATGATCAATTAGCAATTTTTTGTCCTATTATGGTATTGTACGTTTACTGTTACAAAGTTATATACGTATATTGACTAATATTTATATATATACGTATATAGTTGGCGTTAACTGCTGCCACACCAATTTGGCGAGGCTATTTGTCTGACATAGATTGTAGATGGACTGTACTTGCAGAAAGTGCTGATGATCGTACAAAAGAAGAACGGGGTTTAGAAGTTAGATTTTTTCATATTTTATTTATCAATTTTCAGTAAAACCTGTTCCAAAATTTAATCCAACACTAACTGTAACCTATGCTTGTCTTTCATCAAAGCCTCTTAAGAATGATCGATTCTTAATAAATAAGTCACGTTATGATTCGATAGCTTATTATATATCAACCGATAAGGCTCTAAAGACGGAGTATAATGATCTAAATTCTGCGTATGATCCAAATATTTATAAAAAACTAACAGATAATGGTACGTCTGTACTAATAATAATTTCTACGTATTGTAATATAAAAATGGATAATGATTATGCCTATTCATACACTTTTATTATATATTAGGGGTTGATGATCTTTTGGCACGTCATATATCTTATTTATTCATCCGTGATCCTCTTTTTGTTTTTGAGGGATCGTTAAATCAAGATAACGAATCGTCCACAGAACACTTTGAGGTTGTATTAATAATATATATAAATAATATATATATATTGTGATTGCATTTTATTAATAAACCATTTATAGAACCTTAATTCAACAAACTGGCAATCAGTACGTTTCAAACCTCCTCCACCAAATTCGAATATTGGATGGAGGGTAGAATTTCGCTGCATGGAAATTCAGACAACTGATTTTGAAAATGCTGCATTCGTAATTTTTATAATACTTTTAACTCGCATTATTCTTAGTTATGACCTGAATTTCTATATACCATTATCAAAGGTTTGTTATTTAACATATCATTAACATTTAAAACAATTTTAATAATAATAGTTTTTTACTAGGTGGATGAAAATATAATGGTTGCTTGTAAGAGAGATGCATTAAATGCTGAAAAATTTTGGTTCAGAAAGAGTGCATTTGCAAATAGTGATGGAATTGGAGGTAATCATCCTCATTATTACATAGTTGCTTCCTATCAAATAATTATATATATATTTCCAAAACTCATATTACTATAAACTACCGCGAATAAGTACATGCAATCTTTGTGCTTATTTATGGTAAAATTAGTTGACTTTACTAATTATTCTAATTATTTAAATCTCCCTGTCTATAAAGATGAATTTGAAAAAATGACCATTAATGAAATTATAAATGGCAATAAAGTAAGTATTATGCACTTTTATAATCATAAATTGATATTTGTATTAATATTAGCATACATGCATTCATTATACCTAGGATAATAAATTTCCAGGGTTAATTAAGATGATGCTTCAATATCTTGAATCAGTAAATATTGATGTTGAAACAAGATATCAGTTGGAAAAGTATCTTGAGTTTGTTGGCATGCGTGCTAGTGGTAATTTAATCTATTTCTTTTACTTGACTTTATTTTTTTGTTAATAACTTTACAATTTTATTTATAAAATATACAACTATATTATAATAGGCAAAATTCAGACTACAGCGACATGGATAAGAAATTTCGTGCGATCCCATCCAAATTATAATCATGATTCAATAGTATCTCAAGAAATTAATTATGATCTTATAAAAACGATAGAAAAGATACAAAAAGGTCAAATTAAGATGCCTGAATTATTGGGTGAATTTAAAATTAATTGATAGATTTTATAATGCAATTGTTGGTTAGTTAAATATTTATAAATAATATACCTGATTTTTTAAATATTTATTAAACTGTTTAATATATAATTTTAATATTTTTGCATTATTTCCCTCTAAATGCGGAAATGCGACTTATAGGGGCCTGACTCTTGGCAACATGCATTTAGAGAACAAATAAGAAAAATTACGTTATAGAGATCACATATCTTTGAGCTAAATCTTGAAACTAGCTTTTGAGACATAGTCACTGTAGTGTTGAATACACACCACCTGTGTGATTTAACAATCCGAAAGTTTTATCTTGAATTGTAATATGTTAAGGCTATATCAAATATCAATCAAAATCAAAATATAATAAAATTACGGCTGTCCTGTCCGCACCAAAGTACTTGATTGGTCAGAACAAATCCTTACGTAAGTGTATTTAATTAAAAGATTCTGATCAACATTTAACAATAATAAAAATTACCCGCTATCACGAGTATGTTGACAATTTCAAAGTATCCGATTGGTCAGAACTAATAAGTGCATGACTCATGACTTCAAATCGTCAGTAAAGATTGTCAGTACGTGGGAAAATGGCGATTATCGACATTATTGGTGATCATGTTATACTATGTTGAAAATTTTCTATATTTTATATAGCATGCATAAAAATTGTAATTTTACGTATATGACGCGCAAAATCTGTAATCTCACATATAAAACTTGCTAAAAATGAAATTGTAATGTTGGTCGCATAATGATAAGATGAAAAATCACCATGCCAATGCCTGTTTTAGTAATTCTGTAATTATAAATTATAAATCCAATGAGAAAAAATTTGTTTCACAATTTTATGGTATAAGTGAACATATCCGTATAGTACAGGCCAACTGATAAACTATACTATACTCGGCATGATGTACATATTAGGGTCGGAAATTATAGCTATTAAAAAAATCATGTCTATACTATACAGATCTACTCACTGATATCATATCGATTCGCTATAATTTCATTTGAGTTAACAAAAGTCAACAGATCAAAAAAAGCGTTAAGCAAGGTAATTTACCCTGTGAAAATAGCAACGGGAACAGGACTAATCCCACATAATCAAGATTACGGATGAGTATGATTCTAAATACCTTCCGTATATAGTAATTCTGTATACTGTGAGAAAAGGCTGATTCTGAGGAAAGCGCAGTTTTGATTCCACATTATCCATCGCGACCAGACCCTCTCACAAAGAAATCCGCTATTTTATTATAGATACTGAATATAATATCACATGGCCATTTATAGCCCATCACTAAGAGTGACAATCTAGCATTTTATTAGTTTAGGGTACATATTGTTAGGAAATTGTTACCCAGTGTGATGTAGGTGGGAATAGTTTTCGAGAAAATGAGACGTAACCTATTTGACATATATTAAATATTTGTTGACACAAGTAATGCAATAGGGGCGCCGGTGGCGCCCCACTTCGCTTGTATCTATTTAAAATTTACTGTCGGATTATAATAAAACTCGCGATTTACGTTATTTCTTTACTATAGTAATATGAAACTTAAAATCAATATAAAGTTATTATATAGCTAGCCTATTTCGAGATAAAATTTGTAAAGACTAATATTAAACTTCTAAAAAAGTTACGTTTTTATTGCTTGCATCTAGATATGAAAATGTTATATTCAAATGCAAAAATAAAATATAACCTTCTTAGTAGAGACTCAATATTAGCATTTACTAGGGTTCCGCATGGGCCGGGTTGGGTTGGATATTTCGAATCCAGATCAAGCCTATAATTGAATGGATAGATCCCATGACCGCATAGTACAATCCATGGATCTAAATTGAATAAACTGTAAAAAGCTTATTAGGCGAGACCAACTTGATTCTGTGTTTTACATTATCCCCCCAGCGTTCCCCTCTCCCTCATAGTAAAAAAATTTAGATAAATATATATAGGGCTACGGGCTATTTCGGAAAATTTTATATAGTCACGGAACAATTCAGAAAAATTTGTTGAAAAAATTTTTTTAAAATTTTACTATGCAAACCACAAATTCTCCCCCTCCCCCTCTTCCGGAGTGAAGGGGGGGGGGGGGGGGGGAAGAAAAAAAAAAAAAAAATGTAGGCCCACGAAATAACCACCTCCAA